ACACAGCCACAGTCCCTCCTCAGTGGGCTCTCTGATCAGGGGATAGAGTTCACCTTTCCTTTTGGGAAATTCTAATATATGAAAAGAGTTCAAAGGCTCTCAGAACATGAATGATATTCAGAGATACCAGAGTCTCCTCTAACAAACTCCTACTCATCATCTAAAGCCCTAAACAAATAGCCCTCATGTACAGACCACAGTGCTTGTATCATGCTGCACACATACAAAGCTACCATGGCATTTAATACATTTAGGTGCTTCGGGTGTAGTCAGACATTTATTTATTATCTGTCTCTGTAAAATTACCTTCCCTAAGGACAAAGATCTTGGTCTTACCAGTGTTTTATTATCTTTACCTTAGAAATATACTATGAGCCACCAATTGGCCCGAGGACTTTTCCTACCTACATCATTATAGCTCTCACAACAATCTTGCAAGACAGATTTTGTTGCTCATCTTACATATATGAAAACTGGGGTCCAGAGAGGTTAAGACACCTGTCTAAAGTCACACAGCTGGCAAGTAATAGAGTCCTTTTCCTTACCCTACATGGTCAAGTCAGTTTAGAATCCCTGGGCTCTGCTCAATTGCTGTTCAACAAATGTTTGTTGTGCTCATTTAGAAAAAAATTAGTAGATCAGATCTGGACTGAAGGATAGCTAGAGCTGAGTTAAGTTGAACTCTAGTACCAGTTAGAAAAGTATGGTGTGTGTGTGTGTGAGAGAGAGAGAGAGAAAGAGATATCAATAGCCATTGGACTGGACCTTTGGCTGATAGGAGAATTCATGTGGTGAAATATCAGAAGATAATACCAAAAGGTAACTTGGGAAAGGTAGGTTGAGGTCACCTGGATAAAAGCCTAGGCTTCCCAGCTTACGAGTTGAATGTGTCAGAATGTCAAGGACACAGCCATCCCTAAGACTCTAGAGACAGCCTTCTCGACTCTCTGACCCAATGAGCCACCTGGTACCCCCCCCTCTGACTTCTAACTTCATGCTCACCTCCTGCCCAAATACCCTGGCACTAGGGTCACCTCCCTGGGGCACACTGGAGGGCTAAGAGGGTGGCCCTGGGAGAAGCAGGGCAGGGCAGGACAGGGCAGTGCTGAAGGTCAGCAAGGCAGGCACGCGCCCCTAACGGAGGTACTGGAGCAGCACTGCTGGGCACAGACACAGGCAAACACGTTTGAGCAAATTGGAACGCCATAAAAGTCTATTACAGCAAATCAAACAGCAGTCAGCATGACAGCCATTAGCCTGAAATGAATACACGGGGACTTAATGAGGTCTGTCGAGGCTGGCTTGGTGAATTAAGTTGCCAATTCTAGCAGGATTTCCCTTTTCTTTACGGACTTGAAAGCATCCACGCTGCCTCGTTAGGGCTTCGACAAGTGAATTGCAGGGCCTTTCACCCTGATAAAATGGATAATTACATGGAGAACAGCTTAGTGAGGCGAGAGGGGTGGGCGAGAGGGGAACCAAGAACAAACAAACCCAAACACACCTGCCTGGCTGTTCCGAGCTGGGGCTGGACTGGGCAGGGGCTTTCAGTGGGAGTGGGGGGACAAAGAGGAGTGGGCAGGAGTCAAAGGGCTCCTCCTTAGGAAGGGGCTGTGCCTGGCCTTGACCAGCCTCCCAACCCTCACTGTTTGTGACCTGAGGGACTTGGGTCCCCATCAGCCATGTGTCCAGGCAGGACTGAAAGTTCTCATCCAAGAAGGGCTGCCCCCCTCAGCACCTCTCAGAAAACCTCCAGAAGGATCCTCCAGGGCACCCCAAGCCTGGCTGGTTCCACTGTCACAGAGGACTTTGTTTAAAATGCAGCTTCCTGGGGTGATGCTCCCCAACCCACTGATTCAGAACTTCAGAGGCCAGAAATATGTCCCTGAGAAATTCTGCTGGGGCATGTTTGGGACCCTCTAATTCATCACTTTCTCAACACTCAGGGCTGGATGGCTTCTGAGAGAAGTGGTCCTCCTGCTTCTGCTTGCAGAACTCCAGGGATGGGAAGCTCAGTAGATCCTCAGCAAGGCAGGGGAGTAAACTGTGTGTAGAGTGAGGCTTCATTGTCTAAAAGTTTTCCTCACATAGATCTGCCTTAGCCACAGATATTTTGTGCCTATCTCTGTACTGGGCCCAACAGATCCCTTCTTCCCAGGGCCCTAGGGCTAGGGCAGTGGAGGTTAGGAAGGCAAGGCACAGGTGCAGGTGGCTGAGACAGCCACAAGGGGAGCTAAATGGATAGCGCTTCTCCGCCAGGCCTCGAGGAGCAACAAAGTACTGGGTTCCATCCTTAGATGGCAGAATGCCCGCCCTGGAAGGGCCCTCGTCCAGCTACTTTGATAGCTGTTGGGGTCGAAGTCAGCCAGAGGGGCAGTGACAAGTCTCAAGTCTACCCTGGCCAGTTGCTGGCACTAGAACCCAGTGTCTTCTCTCCCATCTCCCTCTTCCCAGAAGCATCTGCTGCCCCCCTCAGCCACAGTCTGCTGGAAACACACCTGCTCCAGGAAGCCTGCTGAGATTCCTCATCACTCCCGCAGGCATCTGGCCCTCATGCTTCACAAAGTCTGCTGTGCTCCCCTCACCGTAGCTATGTCACTGGCTTGCTTTGTCACCCTGTTCACATCTTTAGGGCTTCTGCCACTGAATCACACTTCTCAAGGGCAGGGCCCAAGGTTCCAGGGTGACCTCAGTGCAAGCAAGAAACCCTACGCTCAATTTTCAGCCAGGGGCCAGTAGACCCTGTGCTGGTGTCCCAGCTGGGGCCTGAGTCAGGCAGCTAAGTTCCAGCTCAGGTGACCACACCAGGCCAGGGCTGGTCAGCGCCAAGCCACCTCAGGTCAGGAGTGGCCCGGCGTTTGTCCAGCTGACACCACATCCCCACTGACCATGTGGAGCAGCCCCAAGTAAGGCATCGAGTATCAGGCCACTGAAGTGACCTGGGCATGTTTATGCACAAGCGAGTAAACCACATGGGCTTTTCTCCAAGGACTATGTGTCCTTTTCAGCCAGCCCCTCTCAGCCTACCCTCCCCTCATCAAATGGGCAGGAGGCAGGTCATTTTATCCCGTCTGCCCTCCATTTTTATTAGATAAGGAAGGCCACAGCCCAGAGAGGAGCAGTGACATGCCCAAACAAAGGCAGCAGCCCAGAAGCGGAGCAGGGGCCAGGCCTCAGGGCCCTGACCCTAGTTCTAGCTCTCACTATTCTCGTCCCTGTGGTCTCCCAGGTCTCTGTGTACTGAGAGCCTGGCTCAGAGCCGAGCCCACAGCAGACTCTCAATAAATATTTGTTAAATAAATGAATGACTGAAGAAACTCTCTCCTTGGAGGCCAAGGCCTTTGGAAAATCCCAGGGGATTCCAACAGGGCTAGGTATTGGAGGTGACATCTGCTGGAACAGACAGAGAAAAAGCCTGACCTTGGCCCAGAGGCCAAGGAGGAGGCATGCAACCCCTCGTCCCTTCACCAGTGCTGCTGCCTGCTGCCCCCCGAGAGGGAAGGCAGAGGGCAGCCATGCCTGCCAGGATGGCAGCTGAGCAATGGGTCCGAGGCTCATTAACTCTGAGCTGTGCCCTTGGTTTCTGAGCCCAGGCCCAGAGTGCAGGCTGGCACGTAGAGACCCTTAATTAAATTAGGGAGACTTCCAAATGAGAGAGAGCTGGAGCCAAGCTGCAGTCCCCTGGCACTCCAGCCACAGCTCAGGGCACCGTGCCCCCATGCTTAGGACTGTGGGCTGTCCCCTCCTGTCCCACCCCAGACAGGAGAAGGGCACAGTGCCTCGTTGCATCCCCACCCAAGCATTTGTCTTTCTCTCTGTCTGGTATAACAGCTGAGTAATGAGGGCCAAGGACTGGGGTGCAGGAGCCAGATCTTGTCACCTTTGGGGCAGTCAGAGCCTGCCCTGGAAGTCGGGAGGCTCAAAGTCAAAGCTCGTGACCTCAGGCTAGTCACTGCCCTGTGGAGATTGATATGTGAATTGAATAGTATATTCTTTAAAGACTCTTTTTGTTCTCTGACCCAATGGCTGATAATATAAAAGGGTTAGAACTCAAATGCCATGGTGCCAATTTGCTCTTCCAAAGGGTTCTCTTGCCCATGACTCCCATCCCAACCCTTTACTGCTGCTGACCAGCCCAGAGCCTTAAAGGACACCCGGTTAGAAGCTCTTTACCCACCACCTTCAGGGTCTTTGAATCATTAATTGCTAGCCCTGCAAGACTGCCATCAGCCACCCGGGTGAGGGCCAGCAAGCAACAAGAACCCTGGTGGCCATCAGGCACCAGCAGCCAGCTTATTAACGAACCGTTTGTAATGCAATAATTTGTACTTCTCAATTACCAGCAATGGCTTGATTTTACACGCATGCACTCATTCAAACATGCTCAGAGAACACTGGGCCAGGGAGACAGTGGGAGAGAGTATAGGGCTGGGCAAAGCCCCTACCCTTTACCACATGCTCCCTGTGTCCTGGGTGGACCTGAATCTGGCCAAAGCAAGAAGGCCTGAGGTGAGGCCTGCCCAAGGTTCACCCTCAACTATGAATGGAAGGAAAGAGGGTGTGACACCTGTCCTTCTCAACTCCTGTCCCACAGCTGATGCCAGCTAGAGCTGTGGGGCTCAGCCAAGGCAGACCCTGCCTTGGCCATGAGGCTCCCACCTACCCACTGCAGGCCCCACTGCCTGGCCCCAGGCCAGCACCCATCCCCAGGGTTGACACTAGGGCTGAGGTGTGGGCAGGGGAAGAAAAGCCAGAACTTCCCTTTCCCCAGATGACTCCTCACCAGTCCCCCAAAATTCTGCTGGGGCATGTTTGGGACCCTCTAATTCATCATCTTCCCAATACTCAGTGCTGGATGGCTTCTGAGAGAATTAGTCCTCCTACTCCTGCTTACATAACTCCAGGGATGGGGAGCTCAGTACATCATTCAGCAAGGCCATCCCTTGTGGCCAGAGAGCAGCAGCCCCCACACCCCGGAATGTGACCTTGGCAGCTCCTACCTCAGGGATGCGGACACTGTAGGGCTGATTGTGAAATGTGGGTGCGTTGTCGTTCACATCTCCGACCTGGATGTTCACTTTCCGTGTGATCACCTGGAAAGACAAGGGTGGGGATTAGCACTGCCACTGCCAATGGCCTCTTTCCCCCCAGGGGGCTGAGCCCAGGGACATGCCTCCCGGGGCAGCAGGGGCCCAGGGGGCACTCACCCCCTGGTGATCGCTGACAGAGAACTCCACTGTGAACTCTGACTTGGTCTGAAAGAAAAAGGAGGGAGAGAAGAGGATAGAATTAGAGAGGCATGCTGAGGTCTTGGGTCTGGGTATTAAGAGGAGCTGGGGGCTCCAGTATTGCCCTAGGAGCATGCCAAGGACCAGCTATCCAAAGTCTTTCCTAGAAATTAGCATGGCCCTTTGGGTTGGGGAAGCAGGTATGGAATATGACCCCTGGCCTTAAAAGAGCAATAGAAGAGAGAAGTCAAGCATCTGTGCCTCAGCTTGGCCTCTAAGCTGCTGTGTGATATTGAACAAGTTGCTAGACACCTCTGTTGGACCTTTCTCAAATACAAGGAGAGGGCAAGGGTTGAGGTTGTGTTCAAACCCTTATCTTAATTTGCTAAGGGCTACTGTGCCATCAATCTCTGCTTCTCCGGAAAGTATTCTTTGGAGAAACATTTGGTTGGGAGGTGAAGGTAGCTATTTATTCTCCATCATACAAAGGATGAACCCAGCGTCACTGTCCCCTTGCCTATCCAATGCTGCCCCTTGCTTTGAGACACCCCTCAGCATTCCATTCCAATCCTGAGGCCAGACATCAGCACTGGCCCTTGAAGAGACACACTATCCTTGAGGCAAGAAGATGCTTCCTCAGAGTCAGAATGGGGTCTCAGAGGAAGGCCTCTAAAAAATGGTGAGCCACCCTTACCCTAGGGTCTGCTACCACCCCCTGGAAAGGACTGGGGCAGGAGTACAGGCAAGTCATACCTCTCTGTCCAGTGGCTGCCGGAGCCACACCACACCAGTGTCAGGCTCCACAGCAAAGAAACGAGAGGCCTCTTCCCCAGACACACCAAACACCAGGGGGTCATTGTCCATGTCCCGGGCCAGCAACTGGGTCACAGAGGAACCTGATGTAGCCAAGGGAGAGAGCAGAGGGCAAATATGGGAGGTCAGGTACATTGCTTAGCACTTTGCTTATATGGCTAAACTCCCAGCAGGGAGCAACCACTCAACAAACCTCCAACAGGTCACTGATCATCCCAAGAACTCCTGTGTACCTTTGGGCTCTGACCCAGGCTTCCCTCTTCCATCCTAGGCCACTTGTCACAGCCCTACTGATGGCAGAGCAGGGAACCACCATTCACCATGCTCTGGGTGTGTAAGGAACAGCTGCAACGTATGCCTGATCCTTTTCTCTAATTTTAATTTGAAGACTCCTCTCTCCAAGGGGCTCAGCTGAGGGTACACCCCAACATTTCAAGTCCTATGTTCCATAACATAACATAACTCAGCTCTAGCCAATCAGAGCATTCCATCTCCCTGGTCATGATGATTGGTTTAGGAATGAGCATGTGACCCAAAGTAGCCAATCAAAGTTAGCCTTGGGACTTTTACTGGAACTACTGGGAAAGAGGAGCTCTATTTCCATGGGGGCTGCTAATTGGTACCACTGGTAGCCATCTTTGGTCCCACACAGGAAAAGCCTGCCCTAGAATGAGGCAAAAGGAGGAAAATAGCCAAATGGTACACAGAAAGGCAGATTCCTGATGGTTTGAGGGTCTGCAGCTAGCAGTTCCTGATATTAGTTCCATCCTCTGGACTTCTCAGCTATATGAGCTTATAACTGTCCCTTCCTCCCTGATACCATTTCTTTGGTGTAAATCAGTTGTATTGGGTTCCTGTCTTTGAGAATAGACAGGATAGCACCTTTCTAACTCAGAATATTTTGCAAAACCTTCTGGCATTTATTCAAGAGTGACTAGGTGCTTGCCTTGTGATATGCTTAAGAAGATGTAGCTCAGCCTCAAAGAACTCCCATGTAGAAAGAACCAGGTGATGACTAGCTTCTATCCTCAAAAAGGGGATTGAGAGGTAGGTGTCACCCCTCACCAGGAAGCAAAGCCATGAGCAGAGGCCACTTGGGCACCAGGATGCCTGGCCTATACCCTGCCTAAGAAGCACCTTCTCCTGGAGTTCACAGCTCCCTATGTGGTTTGCAGGTAGGGTGACCAACTTCCCTGGTTTGCCTAAGACTGAGGAATTTCCCAGGCCATGTGCTAAAAATCAGGAAGCCCCAGGCAAGATGAGATAGTTGGTCACCTTAGCTTCAGGAGGTCCTTAAACTCCCACAAACTATACCCAAAATGTTATGCATGTACAGCATGTCATTTTCTGAAGAGTGTATATACAGTCTTCATCTGATTCTCAGAGGGGCAGTTAGATCAGAACTGCAGCCTTGAGCAAATCACTCCTTTCAAGGTTTCAGTTTACACTATAAAATGAAACAGACATCTTCTTCCCCAAATACTGACTCTCATATTTACCGCATAGCTCTAAGGATCAAGTTTGAAAGAAAGAATTCCAAATTCTGGACATTTTATCTAGAAAAGAAAGCTAATAAGCTTTGATAAGTGAACTTTTAAAAGAACAGTTGTAACATGACAATGATAGCTAACATTTTTGAGTCCTAATTATAAGCCAGGCACTGAGTTCCATGTACACATTTAGTCCTTACTGTTATTCTCTCCATGTAACAGATAAGGCAACTAAGAGTGATGAAGTAATTTATCACAGCTTCACGGTTAGCGCATGTCTGAGATGGAATCCACATCCCAGGTATTTGGAACCTCCAGCCCACATTTGTTTCCAAACCTTACTCATCTCAACACTTGATACACAAACTCAAGCTCAGGACTTCCATAGGCATGATCCTATCAGATGCTAACTGGAAGTCCAAAGCTTGGAAGAGGAAGATAGTAGGCATCCGTTAGGCTCTTGAGATGCTAGACTCTAGCACAGAGGTTCTCAACCTATGGGTTGTGACCGCTTCATAACAATGAAAATACATTGCCGCATTAGGAAGGTTGAGAACCACTGCTCTAGCATCTCAAGGGTTCTCATGGGTTCTCTCTTTAATCCTCCTAGCAACTCTGAGTATAAATCATTATTCTACCCATTTTATAGATTAGAAAGTTGAGGCTCAGAGAGCCAAAACAGCCTCTCCAAGGTCAAGCACCAGAACAACAGAGCAGGATACAGGAGCATCCAATGCAACGGGAAGAAGAGCAGTAAAATCATGGAACAAAGTTGGAACAACCTCAGACCCCAACCTTCCCATTTTAGAGTCAGAGATGCTGAAGGCATTTAGCAAGCTGCCTGAAGTAAGATGGTGAGTGACAAAGTCAGGACTCAAACCCAAGCTTCCAAACTCCCAGATTTCCCTGTGAATGCTCTTTTTAGATGGTATAGGAGGGGGTCTGTGAAAGCCATAGGTAAGCCAAGCTTATCATCCCAAACTATCTATATTGCTCAATGATAGACAATAGTTTTATACTAAACCAGAACATACCAGGAGCAGAATGTCATATTTAATTTATTTTTAATTTTATTTTTATGATCTTTATAAAAGATTATAACCTAAAGTTGTAATAGAATTTCGTCCTACCCTAACTTCCAGGAATATACATTTCCTTTCCATTGACCTCAGGGGACCTTTAGTGGCAAAGTCTGGGAAACACAGAGGTACTTCCTAATGCCTTGGGTAGACTGCACATGGGGAAACTGAGGCCTGTAAATGCCCTGTTTAGCTATAGTACGATGAATCTGTGGTGGTCTACAGCCTTCTGGACTGCATACCTTCCCTGACAACCTCCTTCAGGGCCTAGCATAGGCGAGGGATGTGGGGCGAAGCTTCCAGCTGGCCAAGGGGATGGATTCTGGGAAGGCCACACTGGCCCTCCAGCCAAAAGACTGCACAACTGGACCTGTATCCCAAATGGCTCTCTTAGCCCTGATGCTCAGGTCCTCCCAAGAAGGGGGGCGGGCACTGGGCAGGACAGGGATGGAGCCATCAGTTGCTGTCACCTACCCTATAATTTCCTAGACTTTTATCCATTTTCCCCTCAATTATGTGCTGCTCAAAATGGTCCTTTTTGGCTTCCTCAGGGGCTCTCGCCTGCTCATGCCTTCTTTGTGTCCCAGGTAATTGCAAGTGACCTTTTCTAAGTGTACTAATTAAAGGTGCTGATTTAATATTATATTTAAGACAAGACGCCCCACAATTTTCCAACTGGGCACATACTCCCCCTCCCTGCCCCACCCTGTTCAGCTGCTCTGCAGAAGCTGGGCCCAGCTCTGGCTTCTGTGGGAAGCGGGGCTTGTTTTATCACTGGGGGAAGCTTCCAGCACCACCAGTCCTATGGGAATGAGGCCAATCTGTGAGGTTCAATTCCAGTCCAGCGCCCCCAGTAGCAGCCACTCAGGAGAACTACTCCTAGCTGAGGGACCCTGGGGTACACATGCCACACACTAACTTTATTTCCCACCTGAGTGTCCCTTGCATCTCAAGGCTGTAGAATACTGGAGTTGTGTGTATGTGTGTGTGGTGAAATACACATCACAAAACTGTACCACTTTAACTATGCAAGGTGTACAATTTAGTGGCCTTTAGTGCATTCCCAAAGCTGTGTGATCATCCCCACTATCTAACTCCAAAACATTTTCATCACCCCCAAGGAAACCACATACCCATCAAGCAGTCACTCCCCATTCCTCCCCTCCACCCCCAGCTCTGGCAACCACTAATCCACTTCCTGACCCTGTGGAGTTGCCTGGTCTGGACGTCTCACCTGAACAGAATCATATTATACAAATGTGGCCCATGGCATCTGATTTCTTTCCATTAGCATAATGTTTTCAGGGTTCATCCACAGCATACACTGGCCCTTCACTCCTTTCTACTGCTAAATAATATTCCATCATGTGGATGGGACACCTTGAACCATTCATCACATTTGTGCACATGCTTTTGTTTGAACACCTGTTTGGGGCATATACTTAGGAGTGAAATTGCTAGGTCATATAGTAATTCTAAGTTTAATTTATTGAGGCATCACCAAATTGTTTTCCACAGTGGCGACATCATTTGACATCCCTGCCAGTGATAGATGAGGCCTGGAATTCTTCTCAGTGATAAGGAGGATATTCAATGATCTGCAGAGGCTAGGGTACCCCCTTTATTACAGATATGGGAGCTGGTGCTATTGGTCCCCTACCCACTACCCCTCAGCACAGACTATTTTCTCAAACACCAGCCCAATGGCCAGCCCCTGGAATCCTTCGCTTGTGGGGTTCTGGCCATCAGAGAATGCTATTCCCATGCACGGGACCAGCCAGTAGGGCCAGGGAACTAAAGCTCTGTTAACAGAGCTCAAGATGGAAGATAAAGATGAGAGGCCCACCTCTCTTCCCTCTAAAGGGCATAACTCAGAGGGACATGTTCTACTCTGGCTCTTGGAGTGTCCAACAGATTAATCTCCAGTTGCCACAGTGGTAGGGTGACCAGATGTCCCACTTTTGAACAATTTGTCCTATGTCCCGCAGCATTTTTAAAAAGTCCCGATTTTTGGAAAGAATGCACAAACAGGCGGGAGAACAGGAAGGGAATATAGGTTTTCAGCTGCCAGGTGGCTATTTTGCCAGAATATGAGTTTTATATTATTTTTGTTAATTTTATAATGTTAAACTGTAATAATAACAAATAATTGTTGAGAAGTGATTATCGAGAACTGCTTATCAAAGTTTGCATTGTTGTCATGCCCTGACCCGTCCCCTGTGGCATCCCCCCTGCCCCGCCCCCCCGGCCATGCTGTCCCACTTTACAAATGTTAAAATCTGGTCACCCTACACAGTGGAGATTCGGTTGCTGATGCATCTTCATGACTTCCTTCCCTTCCTGGTCTCACCAACCAGGTCTTAACCCGGGTTTCCTGTAATCTCCCCTAACAAACCACTTATACTTATGTCCGTATCACCAAGTCCCTTCTGGGGAAACCCAAATAAGACACCCTCTAAGACCGTGCATTAGAACCACCTGCAGAGCTTTTTACGATACAGATTCCCAGCCCTG